GTTGATCTTGATAAGTTGGCCTAAGTGTCCATGGTGAAAGACCAAAAAACCGCGCGGATAGGTGTCGAGCCTTCCGGTTAATACCAGTAAAAATGACAGTTTGGTAGTACTCGTAGAGTCTACTTGCAGACACCAGCCTAGGGATTACCAAAGTCGTATTTACCGCTCCTATTGAATAAATGTTGGAAGTTTGAAATTGATGAGATTACAAGATAATATTGGGAACATGGTGAATTGAAATGATGCATTTAAATGAATATCTTTCCTTAATTATTAACATTGGCATGGCATAGCATTTGCCTTTGATGTTGAGAAATTTCGCATAACTGTATATACTTTGTGAGAATTCTCTACTGGGCTTTATGCTCACCTCTATGGGATTTTGGTGCAGGTAAGAATGTGGTGATCCTGCCGAATTGAGGGCGTGGATATTTTTGTGAAGAGTGAATAGCTCTTTTATCTTTTATGTAAACTTTGTAAAGCCAAGGGCTAAATGTGCATGGGTCCAAGAGACGATTTTGTGTAACCGGGCTTTGGCCTTGAAAGATGTAAGCCCTTAGGGTCATTTTATTGTTTTGAGACTAGATGCTTCGCATGCTATAGATTCAGGTGTTCCTTATTTCGTTGAATGTATACCGCATGTGGAACTTTTGTACTAAACTATTTTAATCAGATATGGCAAGATGAAAGGATTATTGTATTTGTTTAGTAGATGTTTATTAATGTGAGTAGTTCATGTTGAATTATTTCGGGGCGTTACAAATTGTGATATAAAATATAATAAAATTAAAATTAGAATAAAAAGTTAAGAATTAAAATAAATAATTAAGAATTTATAATTAATTGTGATCTAATTAAATTAATGTTAAACTTGATAAATTATGTGTATGAGAGGAGATAGAGAGAAAATAAGAAAAAAAATATATGAGATTTGATGGTATTATAATCATTTTATGTGGTCCAAAATCACATGGCCTCTCTGATTATTTTTTAGCCATAAGGGGTAAAGAAGTTTAGCCTGAAATTCTGATGAGGTAAAATGAATTTAACCCAAAAATTAAAAATAAAAGTGATTGTAAATGAAGTTTAACCCATTGGTTCTGACCTCAGTACTCAATTGGGAGAGAATGTCCCAAGCTTGTTTGGCTTTTGTAGCATCCTTGATTCTTGGAAAGATCCGATCTAAGACACCTTGCTGGATGTGAGAAAGAGCTGCAGCATCCTTCTATTGCTTCTCCTTGCTGGTGTCATCATACCCATTCTGTACCGTATCCCACAAATCCATAGATAAAAACAGAGTTTTCATCTTCACACTCCAAAACTCGTAGTTGGTACTGTCAAAAATTGGAATTGTGGCCATGTAAAGTTAACTCTGTTAAGGATATTCAGTTCTTCACCTTGCAGCTCATCTTCCTTCCACAAACCATAAACTCTACTACTACCATATGGAATGGAAGCCTTCTGACTAGATCTACGTAAGCTGTTGCTTAATCATTAATAAATAAATAAATAAATAACAGCAGAAAAATTGACTTTCGCAAGAAAGATGGACGTAGATTTTTTAGAGTTTGGGGTTACTGCTGCGCATGGTGCGCTGCAGTACATTTTATTAGCTTATTTTAGGGCTTAATTCGATAATTTAAACTGTTCACATTTTAAAAATTATTGAGTAGAATATATTTGTAAAAAATCACGTCGATCAGATATTGTTATCTCTTTCATCAATCATATTTGTATTGTGTTTTATATTTCAAATTACATTTATCATTTTTTTTAAATACAACTGTGATTTGATAAAAAGGCCAACGATATCCAATTGACGTAATTTTTTACTGATATATTCTACTCGATAACTTCTAAAATGTGAATGGTTTAAATTATCAAATTACACCTTGAAATAGGCCCAATAAAATATGTGACAATTGCTGTTGTGCACCATAGGCAACAGCAATCCCAAACACGTTTTCTTAAGGGAAAAAGAAGGGATGGTAAGCAGAAAAATTGACTTTCGCAAGAAAGATGGATGTAGACTTTTTAGAGTTTGGAGTTACTGCTGCGCATGGTGCGCTACAGCACATTTTATTAGCTTATTTTATGGCTTAATTCGATAATTTAAACCGTTCACATTTTAAAAATTATTGAGTAGAATATATCTATAAAAAATCACGTCGATCAGATATCGTTATCTCTTTCATCAATCACATTTGTATTGAGTTTTATATTTCAAATTACATTTATCATTTTTTTAAAATGCAACTGTGATTTGATAAAAAGGCCAACGATATCCGATTGATGCAATTTTTTACTAATATATTCTACTCGATAACTTCTAAAATGTGAACAATTTAAATTATCAAATTACACCTTGAAATAGGCCCAATAAAATATGTAACAGTTGTTGTTGCGCACCATAGGCAACAACAATCCCAAACACATTTTCTTAAGGGCAAAAGAAGGGATGGTATGCAGATTTGGAATTCTATCTTCATTGGATTCCTGTCGTACATTTTGATTCTTCACAACTTATGTCTACAGGTAGGGATGGCCACGCGATGGATTGGAAGCGGAGGGCCAGTTAATATTTAATTTTCTAACCAAATAGGCCAAAAATTATTTATCTAAAATTTAATAGTCCATTACATTGTAATTTCCTTTTATCTAATCCTTCCAAACAAATGCCCTAATTAACCACACGGTGTAATCTATATATATTAAGGAAAATAGAGTTTCTAATGAGAAGGCCCTCCTGAAACTCAAAACCCTTATACTATTTTTCTAGAATTTTTATTTTTTAAATAATCAAAAAATCTTCTATTAGCTAGATTTTATTGAATCATTAAAAAAGATAGTAATTAATCTATGTAAAAGGAAAGTTAATTATTAATTATTCTATTTAAAATTTTGAATAGTTTTATGCCTTAATTTACACATTTTAAAAGGAAAGTTAATTAATCAATTTTAAAATATAAATTTTTATACCACTAAAATATAGGAATCAACACATCTTTCATAAAAAAACTCCCGACTGTTATCCCAGATAGGCAACTCAAGAGGGGGTGAATTGGGTTACTAAAAATTTCACAATATTAAAATTAACACAATATTCAGAATTCTAATAAATAAATAAAAAAAACAGAATAATAATTATCAATATAAAAGTAAGAGAGATAGGGAGAGAAAATAAAAAACTGCGATTTATAGTGATTCGGCACGCCAAGCCTACGTCCACTTCCCAAGGAACCTCCTTGAGAATTTCTTTACTATTAATTGAATAAATACACCACCAAGCTTGTGAATTTGGCACAGGACTTACTCTTATCTATTGAGCCTCACTCAACAATAAATGCCTACCCTTACAAAATCTCTCACAAAAATAAGAAATAAGAATAAGTGGTACATAAACCCTCTTTTACAATAATTCTCTCACAAAGAATAAATATGAAAGTGTAAGAACAAATGCTAGACTTAGATCTGAAAGTGAAAGAGCAGAATACAATATACTCAGAATTTTGGAGCTCACAGAAAATTTTCTCTTCAAATTCTTGATTTTTCTCCACACACAAAACTTCTATTTATACACAAAAATATACCCGTTAGACGCTCCTTGCTGACGTCATGACTTACATAAGCACGCTCCTTGCTGACGTCATGGATGACATTAGTTTGGAAGAGAATCACGTGTAAGAAAATTTGCACTCTTGCAAATTTGAACATCTTTAGGTATTAGTCAAAAGTGTACAAAAAAGAAAAAGAAAAATTAATTTGAATTATATCTTGTATGACTTCCCACATGCTAATAATTAATGTTTTCATATGTTAATATTCAATGTTTCTACACACTAATATATATGATACAATTAATGTTATGTAAAAAAAATATAATTGCTCCGTGATGTATACTATTTGTATTATATGCATTATATATATAAAGTTATATATATATATATATATAATGTTCTAATCAAATATTTGCATACATAGAAAAATTTCTTTAAATCATATTTATGATGAATCTAAAAATATATGTCTTCTTTAAAATATTGTATATATTGTAAAGATTTTAAATTAACTATATCCTACTATTCCATATTAATTTTGTCAAAACAAAACAACCTATCAATATCAAATTTGTCAAAACAAGACAACCTATCAATATCAAATTTGTCAAAATAATACAACCAATCAATCATTTTTGTCAAAATAATATAATTAATTAATTTTTAATTTGGTCAAAAAGTAAATGATCAACCTAAATTTTCAAAAAGTGAATAGTAAAATTTTTAAAAATATTTATATTTAACTAATATTTAACAAATATATATATTTTAAAAAGATAATATTTTGTGTCAAATAAATATGAACATTAAAAAAATCTAAATTATTACAAATAATATTTTAGACATCTTCAAAATTAAATAATATGATTAACACTCTCATATATCAGTGGTGACAAAATGCCGAGCTAGAAGCCTTTAGATTTGCTATGCGTGGAGAGACCTTTGATTTGATTTTAGATTAGGCAAAAGAAGCAGTGCTAATTGGGAGTGATAAGAACAATTACAATGTTCAAAAGCAAACAAGAAATCAGGTCCATCTGCCCTTGAACTAGTCTTTCACAGTTTTACGTCTCGTTTAGAAATAGGCTATTTTAAGAGTATTTTGAGAAGACGATTAAAAACTTTTTTTTAAACTTTTTTGTGAAAAAGAAAAGTGGATTAAAAACTAGAAAGTGACTTTTAACCCATTTTCCAAAATAGGCCTTAATAACTTTTTGATTTTTTACGAAAATATGTACAAAAAAATAAAGACACTATATGACAACTTATAGTGACCTTTTGATTTTTTAACTAAAATTGAAAATTGCCAATTACACTTCACTCCTATAATTTGATTCAAATTTCACTTTAGTCCTCATAATTTCAAATTGAACACTTTAGTCCTTATAGTTTCAAATTGTTCAAATTGAAACAATAAGAGCTAAAGTGAAATTTCAAACAAACTATAGGCCATAAAAAGTGTAATTAACCCTTCTAGGAAACATACCAGTGTATTCATCAAATCATGAACCTATCAATCAAATACTCCAAAATTCTAGTGTCAACTACAAAACTATACAGACTTGTCAAATGAATACTACTACATCACAATTACCAGTTGCAACACATCAAATACTATGAATACTACATCACAATTACCAGTTGCAACACATCAAATACTCTACATAGTTTGAACAAACATTTAGACAAAATAGTGAATGCTCACTAGGAGGGTAAAAATGCATTATTTCCTAAATCCAAATACAGCCTAAAATGTATTTGTCTGACCTCTTCCACTCCGTGAGATGCAACTGCTCTGCACTGAAGCACAAGTACAGCAAATGAGTTAATAACTGTTGCAAAAGGAAAAATTAAATGAATATATGTATTTAAATTATACACAATGTCCTACGGGGAACTTAGAATTAGATACGATTTGAAGTAGTTTACACACATCTGCTAATGTGACTAAAGTTTTATTATTGAAAAATCATTTATAACAAGTGGATAAAAAATCAGAATGATCAAACTAGTAGCCATGTTTGACATGACATCCTAGATGGGTCATGTGTGCGACATGTGCAACTATATTAATAAATAAAAATAAATTGTCGATACAAGAAGAAAAATGAAATTTGATTTATAATTTAATGAGGATAAATTACAGTTATCCCATTGAGGTTTTTGATAAATACATCTGATTCCCTCAGATTCGGGAAAATAATCCCACTGCCAAAGATTTCAAATCGCACAACAGATACCCCTTCTGTTAGTTGTTGGGTCAACAAACTAAATTTGATATTGTCAGCAAATTCATTCATTTATCCAAATAATCATTTTACCCCCATTAATAATTTAATGAATTTATAATTAATTTACATTATAATCTACTTGAGAAAATTTGATTTATCAGTTGGCATGAGAATAATACAATTATTACTATGCAATTAAACTTTCTCCAAGTATGTACAAGCCTTAAAAGCATCAAGCAGTTGTACATTATTTGAAAACAGTTACAAAAAAAAAAAAAGCCTGACATTAGAGAAACCAAATTACATCTCCCCTCTCTTCCTGCTTTGACCCCCAATCCCCACATTACCACTGCCCCAGCCCCAATCACGCCTCAAGCCACCATCACGCCCCACCAATTGCCACCACCACCCATCAATAGTTTCCATAGCCACTTGACTAATCATTCTCCCTTCCTTGTTTGTCTTCTCTCCTGATCTCCCTATCCTTCTCTCTTTACTTTCCTTTCTATCTCTACAACAGTTTACCCTCAATCATAGCCATTGGAGAACCAACATAGGGATAGAAAGGAGCTGATGAAGATACCCCTATACCTGTCTTTACTAGCGAGACTCATCAATCTCATGGTGATGCCATTGCTGATGCAATTTGTGCAAGGATGCTTGAGGTACAAGTGTAGATTGAAGGAACCAAATACTAAGAATTTGGGGGTTTTGCTTTGCCAATCAAACGACTTTATGTAGTTTTTGAAAGTTGAAAGGTTGTGTACTTTTCTGTCCCTCATTTGTTGATCTTGTGGGTTGTGAGATAAGGGAAGTGGTAATTGATCTGTGTCGCAACCCTCAAACTATCTGCATTGCAATCCTCAATGAAAATAGTGGCATCACCTATGAACAATTGCCACGATCTGCCTCAACCCATCCCAATCACCACCATTTCTCTCTCTCTACACCAAGTCTATAGGTCATGATCGTGGATGGCTGTGATTACATGGGGGTTTTGGTTGTTTGGTTCCGTGAGGTAACAGCAGTGATAAGGAGAGGGGTGGGAAAGTTGCTGCATGCTAAAGTGAGAGAGAATGATAGAGATAGTTTGGGTAGGGTATTTGTGTAAATATTTTTTGGTAGTCGAGGGTAATTTGGTTATTTTAGGTTTTTTTTTATTAACTCAATTAAAAGACTCTTGACAGATGTAAAAATTAAAAAGAAACAAGAATTCCATAATTACCTTAAAATGAAATTGTTATTAATGATATATTTAACATATAAGTCCTGCTCAATGGGTAAGGTCAAGAATGGAAGTGGAGGGTAATTTGGTTATTTTAGTTTTTTTTTTATTAACTCAATTAAAAGACTCTGACAGATGTAAAAATTAAAAAGAAGCAAGAATTCCATAATTACCTTAAAATGAAATTGTTATTAATGATATATTTAACATATAAGTCCTGCTCAATGGGTAAGGTCAAGAATGGAACCCCTTGCCAGCCTGCCTACATTTTGGTTGGCAATTCCTTCCCATCTCCCCAAAATACAATGGAATGAAGCATACTAGAAATAGACAAATCTGGTGTTCACGGACTACAGTTGTGAAATTAAATAAAACACGTAACAAATAATTTATAGTTAGCATATCAAAACATATTAACTATCACAGGAAGGAGATCAATATTTAGTTTTCTACACACAAAAACATAAACATAAAACCCTGAAGTAGTCAAATATAAATTGCAATGCTTCAACATTATCTTCTGATTACGGAAACATAAGCTAAGATTGTACATAAATTGATAAACAATCTTTTACCAGGCGGGGTACAGGGGTACAACACAACCATATGATAATAGATAATAAGGTTCTCGTCCAACTGCAACATTGGGAATAACTATCTTCTCTAATCTTGCCACTTCAAAAACAGTAATAGCTAAAAAAGAAATTTTATTTTTTTTTATTTTTTAAACAAAATTAAGAATGCTCAAAATGGTGGGAGATACCAAAACTTCCCAAAATGCTTCAAATCAAATACACTATCAACTGCAAGGTTTTTGACCAAAACAAGAAACATAACAAGTATAATGAGAGGGAAGTGAGTTTTTGCTCAACTCATAGGCAAACAGGAAATAGGTTTACTAAAGAGCAATGCCAATAAGAAAAAGTCTCCACCAATTCTGATGAAGAAATAGGGCTATTGTGTTCATATAACACTCAGCAATATCACTTCAATGATTGAAAAAAACCTATGGCACCTGGTTGCTTCTCTTATCATTTTAATAATTCATATGGTGTTGATGTAAGCAGGATACATAGAAAATTAAAAGCTTAAATCCCCAAAAATAAAAAATAATGAAAAAAAAATCAAATCCTTCTCCAGTTTGCCTTTTGTGTATCAAACCATATGCATTTCATTAGTTCATATAAGAGTAATTTGTTTCAGTCAAATTTCATGACACAATGAGTCCACCAATGGTTCTGCACTGTTCCAATCTAAATTCACAACAGATTTGGGGTTAAGTTACATTTTTCAAATTGAAGTCATGGCAAAACCAAACTTTTCGCATCCTTACAACAGTGGAATAGGAATGAGAATGAGCCTCATTGATTTAGCATAAAGGAAATTTTCCAACAAAAGAAAGGGCATGGAACTTACAAACAATCAAGACTGATAAACTTCGGGAAGTTGAAGACCCACACTTGCAGCAGATTTTCCTAGAACTTTTTTCATTTCATCAGATCTATCCACAGCAATGTTGTAAGAAAACAACAAGTCCTACACAACCGCAAGGAATTCACATTCAAATTTATGATGGAAACAATTAAAATTTTATTAGGTAGTTTCTTCCACTAACAAAGCCATATTGTTGAATGAATAAACAGAAATTATTTGGTAATAAAGGGCACGGAGATGACAAAACCAAACAATATCAATCTACCATTGAGAAGATTCCCCAAACCACAGTAACAGAACCAAGTTATGGCATTAGAAAGTCTCCATTTGCTTTGAATTCCCTTCCAATGGTTTGAAGAATATTAACCAGAAACCCACCATATAGTTCTCAACTTTCTGATTGGATCAGTGATTTTAATAGGGGAAAAAATAAAAAAAAAAGTTTTATGTTATCTATACATCTCACTGAAAATTCTCTATGTGCTAACGACACACAATTGTAAATTATGCAGATTAGACAAAAGTGAGCTGCTGCTTTTTTTTCTTTTTTTTTTTTTTTAAAGTGAGCTGAGAAATTTTGATTTTCATATAATAAATAACAAATGTCAATTCATTTCAATGTTTGCGGACTTGAAGCTTCTAGACAAAATCAATACTTCATATATAAATACATAATATGAATGCATATACATACGTGTGTGTATTATGCATATACATAGGCATGAAAGATAAAAGGTAGGTGTTACCTTGTGATGGTGGACACTATTTAGAAGGAACGTGTAATCACGGGCAAGCTTTATTTTTTGATGGATGGATGAGAGGTCCAATTGTTCATGGCTCGTTCGGAACTCCTGCGATATGAACTCGATGAAATGACTCTTTTTCTCTTCTTTATCAACATGTTTCTTGACAGCTTTCAGAAGCTGGCGATAAACCTTAGCAGCTTGTATAGCTTCAACAGAAGATCCCATTTTCAGACCCTGTTTCAAATTATTGAATCCATGGTTACAAGTATACATAATAGAACCACATATGTATCTATACTATTACATTACATAAAGTATACAAGTCAGTTGATGTGAACACTTTGTTATGCTTTTTTCATTTTCCAAAAATACCAACAATTGATGAGTTTCAAAATTGTCATGTGAAAAAATCTAATAAATTTAGATATTTAAAACTCCACAAAAGGTGAACTCGCAACAACTGATACAAAATGAGAGAATACTAGAGTCAAGAGAGGTTGAGGATAAGACAAACTCACAAGCATTCTCTTCATCTGTAGTAGCGATGGATGAATAGGCTCCAATACTTTGATTAACAGTTGGCGCAGGTAATGATTCAACATGTTGGTTCTCACTGGTCAAGTCATGTGGTGCGAAAAAGGAATTATTTTTCAAGGGTGAAGCTCATCATCTAACTTCGGCGTCATATTACGAGAAGGGAAACAGATCAACATAACATGACTATCAACCTCCACATCCGACTGCACCGCCATTTTTTGCTCCACCGACCGCATCGGTAAGTTCAAAGGAGCAAACCCAGCAGTGTTTGGTTGGGGTTCCCTGGCCACCGCACCAGTTATTTCTCTTGTGGACTCGTTCAGTTCTGGAAAGAGCGTCAGCAGACCACGGGAAGAGGAGGCCATGTTCTGGGTAGCTGGACGGGAAGAAGAGGCCATGTTATGGTTGCTGCGTGTTTCAGAGATGGGTTGGTTACAGAGTGTTTACAGAGTGTTACCAGTGTATCTCTCTCAGCCCACGAAGAGTTTTTCAGAGGTTTCAGACTGGTTTGATTTCCACATGTTCTCTCAGCCTCCGCCTTCATTTATATAGCACATGACGAAGAGGCCGACACGCGCACTGTCGATCACGTGCATCGCCGCGTGTCTGGCGCGCCTTTTGATGGCACGTCTTTTTATGGATTTGACACGCCTTTTGATGGCACGCCTTTTTATGGATTGGGCACGCCTTTTGATGGCACGCCTTTTGAAAGATTGGGCACACCTTTTGAGGGTTAGCTTCTTTAAGGGTCCGACAAGACTCTGTAAACTGTCCCGACACTGATTCCGGTTAGCTCCTTCAGGGGTCCGACAAGACTTTGTAAACTGTCCCGACATTGATTCCGGTTAGCTCCTTCAAGGGTCCGACAAGAATCAGTAAACTGTCCCGACATTGATTCCGGTTCGCTCCTTCAAAGGGTCCGACAAGACTCTGTAAACTGTCCCGACATTGATTCCGGTTAGTTTCTACACGGGTCCAGCAAGACTCCGTAAACTGTCACAACAACTGTCACAACAGTGTCTGTTACAACGGTCCGACCTGACCCCGTAAACTGTCTTCTACATCGGTCCGACATGACCCCATCAACTGTCTTCTACACCGGTCTGACACGACCACACAGTGTCTGCTACAACGGTCCGACATGACCCCATAAACTGTCTTCTACAACGGTCCGACACCACCATCCAGTGTCCTCTACACCGTTATGACACCCACTACACCACTACCATCTCACCTACTCCACTAAACCTAACCCACTACACCACTACCATCTCACCTACTCCACTAAACCTAACCCACTACACCACTACCATCTCACCTACTCCACTAAACCTAACCCACTACACCACTACCATCTCACCTACTCCACTAAACCTAACCCACTACACCACTACCATCTCACCTACTCCACTAAACCTAACCCACTACACCACTACCATCTCACCTACTCCACTAAACCTAACCCACTACACCACTACCATCTCACCTACTCCACTAAACCTAACCCACTACACCACTACCACCTCCACTTCACCTACTCCTTACCTACTACACACTCACCCTCTTCTATATATAGGAATCATAAATCATTGTAATAGAAATTAATATAAATCAATCAATAATACATACAATTTATTCCCTCTCTATTTCTCTTTATACATTAAATTTTACACTATCAATAAAGCAATCATAATACTCGTGACATTAAGAAGTGGAGTCTTATGAGAAGCACACGTTTCGCTCAAGATTCACTTGTTTACCATGCTTGTGTCTCTTAACAATAGAAGAGGGATCCCTCTACAAGTTGTTTTCCCACAATTAGGTTAAATAATTGAATGACTAAGTTTATTCCCATCAAATTGTGGTATACCTAAAACAACTTGTGTAATTCACTAAAATACTTTCAAATATCCATATGAAAATCCATTTCCACGCTCCTTATAGTCTCCCTTATTTCATTCACAGCCTTGCATATAGTTTGAAACTCTTTGCTTAAGTATGTTTGGCGATCCATGAATGCAATTAAAAACCTTTTTTTTTTCAAAGCAAGAAAATACACTACTATGGACCTCTTGCAGATTTTACAAATTCTCAATGAATAAATTACTAGCCTCAATTTTCAAAGGAAGAATATGTACCTGCAAGTAGGAATCACGAGATGGCTAGAGGCGGGTGCAAGGTGGGTTGGTTGGCATTGTGGGCTTAACAGGAGCAGAGGCTGACACTGTAGTTTGAGCAGGGGAGGCATCAGCGTAGATTTCATACAACAAAAAGGGAAAGGAGAGAGCTTTGGATTTGGCCTTTAATAAGGCATAGATTTCATGTGGCAAGTAGGAAAACTTAATACAGCTTGGCTCCATGAAAAATAGTTTAAAGCATAGTGACTCTTTTCATAGTTACGTCCAACAGAAGTATCACGAGATGGCTAAAGGCGGGTGCAAGGTGGGTTGGTTGGCATTGTGGGCTTAACAGGAGCAGAGGCTGACACTGTAGGTTGAGCAGAGGAGGCATCAGCGTAGATTTCATACAACAAAAAGGGAAAGGAGAGAGCTTTGGATTTGGCCTTTAATAAGGCATAGATTTCATGTGGCAAGTAGGCAAACTTAATACAGCTTGGCTCCATGAAAAATAGTTGTAAGAATTTATGTATTATTGATTGATGTTTATTGATTTCTATTACAATGATTCATGATTCCTATATATAGAAGAGGGTGAGTGTGTAGTAGGTAAGGAGTAGGTGAAGTGGAGGTGGTAGTGGTGTAGTGGGTTAGGTTTAGTGGAGTAGGTGAAAGTGGGTGTAGGTTTAGTGGAGTAGGTGAGGTGGTAGTGGTGTAGTGGGTTAGATTTAGTGGAGTAGGTGAGGTGGTAGTGGTGTAGTGGGTTAGATTTAGTGGAGTAGGTGAGGTGGTAGTGGTGTAGTGGGTTAGATTTAGTGGAGTAGGTGAGGTGGTAGTGGTGTAGTGGGTTAGGTTTAGTGGAGTAGGTGAGGTGGTAGTGGTGTAGTGGGTTAGATTTAGTGGAGTAGGTGAGGTGGTAGTGGTGTAGTGGGTTAGATTTAGTGGAGTAGGTGAGGTGGTAGTGGTGTAGTGGGTTAGATTTAGTGGAGTAGGTGAGGTGGTAGTGGTGTAGTGGGTTAGATTTAGTGGAGTAGGTGAGGTGGTAGTGGTGTAGTGGGTTAGATTTAGTGGAGTAGGTGAGGTGGTAGTGGTGTAGTGGGTTAGATTTAGTGGAGTAGGTGAGGTGGTAGTGGTGTAGTGGGTTAGGTTTAGTGGAGTAGGTGAGGTGGTAGTGGTGTAGTGGGTTAGATTTAGTGGAGTAGGTGAGGTGGTAGTGGTGTAGTGGGTTAGATTTAGTGGAGTAGGTGAGGTGGTAGTGGTGTAGTGGGTTAGATTTAGTGGAGTAGGTGAGGTGGTAGTGGTGTAGTGGGTTAGATTTAGTGGAGTAGGTGAGGTGGTAGTGGTGTAGTGGGTTAGATTTAGTGGAGTAGGTGAGGTGGTAGTGGTGTAGTGGGTTAGATTTAGTGGAGTAGGTGAGGTGGTAGTGGTGTAGTGGGTTAGGTTTAGTGGAGTAGGTGAGGTGGTAGTGGTGTAGTGGGTTAGATTTAGTGGAGTAGGTTTAAGTGGGTGAAGTAGGTGATAGGTTTAGTGGAGTAGGTGAGGTGGTAGTGGTGTAGTGGATTAGGTTTAGTGGAGTAGGTTTAAGTGGGTGAAGTAGGTGGAGAGTAGGTGGATTTTAACAAAAGAAAAAATAAAAAAAAATAATAATATCGTAGCCCAACGTAATGGAGTCTCGACCTCCTGCTTCTGACAGGTGAAAACCATGACCTCCTGCTGCTGACAGGTGCAAACCATTTCCCTCCGCCAGCCATCTTCGATCTCATTCTTTTGTATTCTCTTGACCTAAGTACTGTTTCCATAATATTTATATCCTCGCAGATCTCATGTTCAGAAAGAGATGCCAGACCGGGCAGTACATCTCTCTGAAAATCTTTGAGTCTCCTCCCCCTTCTCAACTTACTTCGACAATCCTTGTTATCAAATTCGTCAACTTCAAATGGTTTTGACGACACACAATAGTCATCCACACTGCTTTCTGGTAACTTCAACACAATCGACTCATAAGAATCGAAAGAATCGAGGATACAGCCGAGTCCATGGCAAGAGACGAGCGACGTCGTGTTGTTGGCGGAGAAAGCGTCGCTTGAGGTAGGTCTCGAGGATCTCCATGACAGAGACGAAGCGCTTCATCTCGGCGAGACGGCGGCTGAGATCGGCCTCTCGGGCCCTGGCTCGCTCCAGACGCGCCTCCGCGTCGGCCAAGCGGAGCCTCAGGTCGTCCACCACGGCGGCGTCGGTGGGCGGAGGACGAGTCCAGGAGGTGGGTAAGCATGATTGTGTCCTATGAGTTGTTTGGAAATGAAACCGGGTCCTGGAAACCGCCCGTGACTGAGAGGGATGGGTTCTGGGAGCAGGCTGACCCGTCTCCTGTCGGGTCGGGTCAATTGTCCGGGTTGGGGTTTCCTTCCGGTCTAACGGCAGACGTGATGGTGCGGACGTGACGGTGTGTAGGGGTCCGGCGGGCGGCCAAGACGAGACTGCCGCCCGCCAGTGAAGCAGAATGATTAGGTTGTTAACCTTGCTCTGATACCATGTTAAAACTCATGTATTATTGATTGATTGATACTACAAGATTTATGTATTTAGTACAAATGTGAGAGGCTCCTTATATAGGAGATATAGGTGTAGTAGGTGAAGTGGAGGTGGTAGTGGTGTAGGTGAAGTGGAGGTGGTAGTGGTGTAGGTGAAGTGGAGGTGGTAGTGGTGTAGGTGAAGTGGAGGTGGTAGTGGTGTAGGTGAAGTGGAGGTGGTAGTGGTGTAGGTGAAGTGGAGGTGGTAGTGGTGTAGGTGAAGTGGAGGTGGTAGTGGTGTAGGTGAAGTGGAGGTGGTAGTGGTGTAGGTGAAGTGGAGGTGGTAGTGGTGTAGGTGAAGTGGAGGTGGTAGTGGTGTAGGTGAAGTGGAGGTGGTAGTGGTGTAGGTGAAGTGGAGGTGGTAGTGGTGTAGGTGAAGTGGAGGTGGT